ATGAAATGACTGATTGTGAGCATGCATTGTGTCAAGTCACGGTTCTGTGAGCTTCATGTTCACAATAGGAATACTAGGCAGTTCTACTTGACTGATCTAAAAATAAATAACTGTACTTTTCCTTGTGTTGAACGGAACCAAGATGCCTGAACTTGAATGATTTGATGAAATAATGACAGCACCAGTGCGGTTGTATCTTCGCTTGATAGTGATTTCCGTCTTAAATGTTGTTTTCTGCATGAAAATCTGGCAAAATTATCGTTCATAACATAACTGATAAATCTGTCAAATAATCATTGTGTTGTGTGTCTCATAATTTTTGTTTATCTGATGAAATTCATAATCAACACAGGAATTTCAATCAGTAATCACTTTCAATACGTTTAAGTAGATATTTCAAGGAAAACTTACTTTATGCTCAGGCCAAATCATAATTGAAATGCTGAAAATAATTGCAGCTGTGGTCAATACCAAGCAAACTGAAATTAATACCATCCTCCATGTTTCATCAAGACGAATCATTCTTGTGCTCGATAGAACAGCAAATATCGATGTTGAGACTATAACAATTGCCGCAATGATCTTCTGAAACCAATCGCCAAAGGCAGTCAAAAATCCAACACCGATTATAATCATATTCAACTGAAAAGTAAAAAAAATACCTGTCAGTTTATTATATGTGCATTAGTGAACACACTAACAACGATGAACCATAAATACACAAATATCTGGTAAAGTATTGTTCTCAAGTTATCTGTTTGTTCATTGTAATGAATGCTCAGTGTTCCTAATCCAAGTTCACCGTTTTGATAATTGAGAAAGATGTTTCACTAAAGATTTCGCACATTAATTTCATCGTCTCCATGTATTCATGAAAAATAAAAAACAACGAGGGCATCGTGAAAAAACCGGTTTTAAGGATCCTTGAGAAATACAAATTCGAAATCGTGGAAGTTATTAAGTTGACATTATCACGATTACAGTGCAAAACGGTGTTTGAAACAAACATTCAACCAACCGCACAGTATCTTATGATGCACACCTAACCTCTTTTCTCTTCACTTGTCATCTACCTTTGTCAATAATCAATCACACAGTTATCCCTGACTTACAAATGGATCTAATAAATTTTTTTTAAGTTATGTGCATATGAATAACAGTATGTCCTAGAATGAGTCCTAAAGACGATCTAATCGTAATTGAGTTTATTAAAACTCAATGAAATTATATGAACACAATCATAAACATCATTTAAAATCATATTTGACTAACGGTTATAATCATGATGATGGTAAGTCGTGGGTATGGGTCAGGTACCAATCGTCGCGGATGCAGTAGAATAGATTGATGGAATCAATTCACGATTAACCAGATAACCGGAACTGAACGTTGGAATACGTTATTACATGATATTGTACCAAATAATAGGTTAATGGAAAACCCCCAAGCCATATACAGTGGACCGTGTAAAAGTTCATTAAACGGGTCCACTGATGTGGAAAGATTATGTTATTCGTGGAACACGTGCGTATCTCTACCGGGTAATTATCGATGCCTCGTTCAACCAACTACATCGTTTATTTTCTGCCGTTTATCTGCAGTCGTTACTTTTTGAGAAAGATAGGGTGATACTTCCAAACAAAAATCAAAAATTGTGGGACAAGGTAGTTCAATCTTTGCTGTGGTAGCCACGTAGTAGCCGATCCAAAATCAAAAGTAACCGAGACCAACATGTAAAACCACATACCTCGGCCTGTACGCGACGGCTAATTCTGTTCATGTATCGACAGAAGATAAAGAAGTCCTGGCCACAACGACACTGATAGGTAAACCAGTCGTCCGTGGTTTTGGTGTGCCTAATTTAGGTAGGGCTCCGGATGCGATCGGCCCCTATGCCGGTGTTCTTTTAGGTTGGCTAAATTATATACATAAAAACTGAAGTTTCACAATACGGTTGCTATTTATTATTGTAGTTCTCCCTGCGAATTCTGTTTTCGATCACAACGGGCATTTCTGATGAGATCATTCAATACAAAATCTAGATCCATCATTTACAGGTTGCGGATTATACGATGTGAAAATACTTATTCTCCATATCCAATCAAAATACATGAATATCATTTATCCATAACGTTTTTCTTATGAAAAAGCAAATCAATTATGAAGATCGCTCAAATTTATAATCTTTTCTATATAGCATCACTTTTTCATGGACCAACAACAATGAATAAAAATAATTTTGACCTATGAAGATGACGACAACAATCAAACTTTTATCAATAAATTCTAACGAAAGTATAAACATTGTCCATTTTTACACTAAAGAGTTGTCGTTCAATATATTGATATATATTTCATATAGTATGTTGTAGTTATAATCATCTGGCAATTTGTCTAAACATACAGTCTATTTTTTATGTCTGACAATAAATTGAAAGGGTACAATTTACAAGCATTTTTGTCAGATAAATTATACATAGTCGGTGAAACTGTGTGTACAGCGACTTACATGTTCTGTATGATAATTTATAACTCTGTTAGTCTTCTCTGCGTCATGAAAAAATCTGTGGGTAAGTTTCATCCAGTTCTTAATAAGAATCAAAACAACCTACAGTGATTGATGGTGTAAATACTGTGTGTTTCATCTAAAATCCCGACTTCTTTGCGTGACGATGATTATGTCTTATCGCTATAGAATATTAAATATATTTGTTCTCAAATA